TGTAATTGGATCAACCCCCCCCCCGAAGCAGCACGCTTAACAAAAAAAATCAACTCACCGCTTCCTGGAAAATTCAACCCCGGACTGAGCAGCCCCTGATGATGCTGCTGATGAGGAGACCTGGCCTGCTGTCCCTGCTGCTGCTGCATCTGCACCTGGATCTGCAGTTGCTGCAGTTGAGGCTCCTGTTGATGGCCCTGATTGATATGAATCCCCAGCTCAGACCGTTCCTTCCCCACAGGCTGATAGCCCCCCTCAGGATACGTAATCCCAGACAATTTATTGGAATAGTGGGACGGGTTGTAGTGCCTCCCGGCGCCGTCGAAGGCTCTCGACAGGGGAATCCCGTGCTCCGGGAAGGGGTCGACACTGGGCTCGACGGGTGTCGTCATCTGGCCCTCCTGATTGATGCCACTGGCGGCCGAGGCCGGCGAGTGCAGTGACTCCTCGAGGAGATCATTGCCGTCGTCCGCAGGAAGCCTAGGAAGAAACAGATCAGCTGCGTCGGACAGACTCTCCAAGAGGGCGTTGTGGTCCGAGGGGGAGCTGAAGGTCAGCGTCGCTGTGAACTGAAGGGGGTCCACCATGGTCCCCGTCACCATGTCCACCATCATGCCAGAGTCAGTGACGTCATACCCCCCGTACTGGGCGGACAGCAAATCCGGCTGGAGTTTGTAGACAGACGAGAGGTCCTCATCCTCCTCCTTGAGAACAAGCCCATAGGACGCCATGTTCTGGAGCAGCTGATACTGCTTGCCCTCCTGGGCGCCATAGGAGTGTTGGGAGTTGAGGTCCTGCTGACCCGTGTCGCACTCCATTCCGACGGAGGTCGGCGTCAGAAAATTGTTTCCTTGACTGCCATATTGATTGGCGAAATTAGCGAGATTGTTTCCGCCCTTGAGAGACTCGTAAAATGGGGGTAATGAGCCTGTGGGAGGTGAGCTGGGGCCGTAGTTCCCTCGGCCGCCATTGCCGCCTGGGTTCATGCCGCCGCCGGCGCCGCCCATGGCGCCACCGCCACCCCCGCCACCGCCGGAGGAGGAGAAACTCAGACCGCCAGAGCCGGAGGAGCTGCCGCCAGATGTCGAGGAGTTGTTGCTGGATCCTGAGGAGGAGCCCGTGTTCGAGGAGTTGGTGGACCTTCCGTGACCGGCGGCTGCCTGGAGGGTGCCCGGGGCCGACAGTCGCATCGCCAAGAGCGGTCTTGCAATCGAGTTGCCGAAGGTTCGGGAGGCCTTGGCTCCCTCCCGTCCTCGCTCTTCGTCGACGTCTTCTTTCCGCTTGGGGACGGCATAGTCGATCGGCTGGTCCTGCTCGGGTTCCTGGGAGGCTGGCACCTCCACCTTCGCGTGCTCTTTTCTGGGCTTTGTTTGAGGGGGCACTCGTTGGATCACGGAGACCCGCGTTGGAGGCTCGATCCTGGGGGTGGAAGGCGGGGTGGGCGGTCGAGGAAGCTCGATTCTCTCGGATTTCCCGGGGAGTTTGTCGGTGGAGGGCACCACCAGGGGACTACTGTACTCTTTGCGCTCCGCACGGGTGAGGACGTGACCTCGGCTGCCGTAGGGGACGTCGCCCCCCAGGATGCTGGAGATGAAACGACGGGGGGAGGTCGTGGTTGTTGGGGCTGAGGGCTGCCATTGTGGCGGGGGTGAACTTGGTGGACTGGTACTCCGGAGGGACTCCGGGGTCGTGGCACGATCATCCTCGGTTTTGTCGCGATCTGAAAAGGTATTCAACGAGGTGAATTAAAGGAGACACGAAATGGGGGGAGAGGGGACCATTGGGTTTGCTTGAGAGACCGCGTGGTGGGGAAAATACTCTTCGCAGTAGAGGGTCGACAGTTTTTTAGGAATATCTCCGCATCGGAGGGAGATAGCGCGATTCTTGTAGGGACCTTTTTTGTAGGGAAAATCAAGAGCTACAAAAAATGTCGTTACAAAAATTTCGCTATTTCCCTTCAATTCCGAGATATCTGAAAAAAACTAATTGTTAAACGAAAAATTCCGAACCGAACAAGTCAACTGGGCTTCAGGTCTCAAATATTTCGCCATCTCAATTTTAAATTACCTTATCTCGTTCTACAACTCAGTATCTCTCGATATTCTATGACCTTGAATCTAAAATACTCCATCTCCCAGTTCATCGACCGCAGTTACAAAATTCCGCAACTTCCTCTTGAAAACTGTTACATTCTCGGTAATAACCGCCTCCGTCGCATTATTTCATTGATCCTGTTACATCGGACGTCGATAATTACATTGGAAAAGAATGGCATAACGTTCTCTTGACTTTGACATCGTCGTCTTGCGGTCTTGGTTACAATTGTGAATGGAGTACGAGGACAGACGGGACAGCGCCCAAGCGGAAACCAGGAAGCCATTGGCTCGACCAAGGACTCCGATATTCTCTTTTTATTCCTCGTTTCGGTATTAATTACAGGCATTTAAAGGGGCGGTAACGCATGTGTCTCCCGAGAACTGGTATTTCACCGGTACACAAGCTGTTTCTAGTTTCAAATTTTAGTTCGCGACAAAATCATGTTTTCGAAGACCTCCCCCCCTCCTCGCGGGTACTTTCTAACGACCATTGACGCAATCGATTGCGTCATCAGAGCGTCCTCCGGGTGCTCCAAACTCGTGGACTCGTGTCGTTAGATAAAGAGAATTTGCGCGTTACAAAATTCACACGCGTGTCGTCCGGAATTTTTGAGGAATCGTTTCAATTACTCTCAAGAAATTATTACCGAACAAATTAGCGCATGAATTTTATTCAATCGTAATTTTTTTTTAATTGCAATTGTTGGAGGTAATTTCAATCACGAATCCCGCGCGAAAAAGTGTCCCGAAGGTCAAGGAGTGAAATCGCCAATTGCGAAATCCTTCATTCTTCGAGCAGAACAAGTTTATGAATTCGAGAGCTGTTAGATAATTCCCAACGGATTGTGTTTTCTCCTCTAATAAATCCCCCCCCGCTTGAATTATCCAGTCTCAAGCCGAATGAAACAGAAAAAATTTACAATTTCATCCTTCAGTCGCTGAAAATGAAGCAAAAAATCCTCGAGCTATTGTCACAGTCCACTGTGATGCTAATGGATGCACCTGCAGTGCGGCACTTTGGATCGCCCCTGGAGCGTGAACCGAGGGGAGCATATACCCATGCACTTGTGTGCACTTGTTGGAATCAGTAGAACAGGTTGAATGGTCAATTATTCCTAGGATTTAATTCCGTTCGTAAATAATGAAGAGGGAAAAAGACAAGTTTAAGTTCTAACGATGATTCGTCAAACGTTAGCCAACATTTTTTTTTTATTCACACTTTGATGTCAATTCATACGTGTATGAGTCATTTGTACATGTATACGCGAGAATAGGCGGCCGCCATTTATGTAGCGGTATCGTGCGTGGGTTGGCAAGGTGACACACCGACCGCGAGTCGAGCGTACTGACTAATTTCAGATGATAAATAAACAAGATCATTGTTCTCATTTTAGAAAACTATTTTTCATTGAGAAATTGGGGAAATCAGACGTAAAAACAGGAAAATTTCTATTCAAATCGCGAAAAAGTGACCCATTTTACCCCATTTGTAACGATTTTGGCTGTATTTCGAGAAAGACCGGAGCAAAATGGGTCATTTTTGTTTTTGCAATTTTTAGGGAACAGAATGAAAATTTTGAATATAAGAAAAAGCCGATCCATTTTGCCCCAGGGTCTGTTTTCATTTTTTAAAAACTTCGTTTTTATGAAGAAGTTGACGAAATTTTAAACCAAATTTTGAAGGAAACAATTTGTTCTGCCCCAGTTGAAACTGTTTTGGCTGGATTTAGGTCGGGGCAAAATGGGTCGTTTTTTAATTTTCTCAGATTTATTTTTGAAAAAAATTATCATTCAATTTTTTGTAATAACACGGTGAATTCCGAGTCGAGATTAAAAAATGTGACCCATTCTGCCCCAGTTGAGACGATCTAGATTTTTCTCGACCGTTTTTTAAAAGAAAATTATTAATTTTTTTTTATTGCGAAAAAAATGAAAATTCAGTCTAAATGGAAAAAAAAACCGACCCATTTTGCCCCATTTGAGCCGATCACTGGAAGTATTTTGAGAAAGATCGGGGCAAAATGGGTCCTTTTTATTTTTCTCAAGCAAAAATATTATTTGCAAGAAAAATATTGAATTTTAACATTAAAAAACAACCCGTTTTGCCCCACTTTTACTTAAATCTCTAAAAATGTCGAGAAGCGCTACAAAAAATCTCTTCCCTGGGAATTTTGACCAGAAACCCCGTGGGCGTGAGAAAATCAGTATCCCATTCACCCCCGTCGACCTTTTTGTGATGATTTTTGGCATCTGTTGAATACCTGTTGTCTACCTGAGCTCCTCCACTTGAGCGAGCCATTATCCCCTCGGCGGAATAAAAGAAAAGCCTGCATTCAAATTTTTTGCTCTCGTTTTTTTTTTTTTTGAAAACAGTCAATTCCGTTGATTTACGATAAAGATCATCTGCACTTGGCCCCCATAGTCTCATTGTTCCAGCGGTAACTCGCGGGGGGAATTTCGGTCAGGGTCTCTTCTCTTCTCACTTTTAAGAGTCACGGTTGAGCGTAAAGACTGTTGATAATAAAAAGTGAAAACAAATCGCAAAAGAGATTATTGTTGGTCACGGAGAAATAGGGTTTTAAAATGAGACACAAGGGCGTCAATTAAGACACTTTGGCCCCTGTTTTAAGACGTTTTTGGAACCGACGTCTTGAATAAGTGTCTTAAAAATTAATTTCAGACATAATTTTTCCGATTAATCCGCGATTTTCTTTCAATTACACCCAAACCTAGGATAATTAATCCACATTTTCAGTTACTGGGTTTGTAGTTCAGAACATTTGAGTTTTTTAAGAATATTTTAGTCTAGATTTAATGATTTTTTCCTGTTTCAAGAGCCATTTATTTATACTTCAAGTATTTTTTTAATATCTCTGGAATTTATAACTTTATCTCAATGAAATTTATAATTTCTGTTGCTAAAAATGAATTGTCCTGCCCCTTCACTCCATTAATGTTCAATTAATTTGAGATAGTGTCTTAAAAATTAATTTGATACATCAATTTTCAAATTAATTCAGATTTTTTTGTCAACCAAAAAAATTGTAATTTACAGGAATTTCTGCTCGATCCTAGGCTAATTAACCTACATTTCCAGTTATTGGTTTTGGAATTTAGAACATTTAGGTTTTTAGAAATATTTCTGTTCTAGATTTTATCATTTTTTCCTGTTTCAAGATTAATTTATTTACGCTTCAAGTTTTTTTGTTAATATCTCTGGAATTTATAATTTTATCTCAATGAAATTCACAACCCCTTTATTGCGAAAAGTATATTATCCTGACCGTTCATTTAATTAATGTTCAATTAATCTTTAATTTTACCCCTTTCGAATGATCTCAGTTTAAGAAATCGAATATTTTTATTTCAAGAAAGACGTCTCATTTGGAGTAAATAGGGTTTCATTTTTGTCCCCTGTCGTAAGACCTTTTTGGAACAAAGGTCTTCAATGACGAGCTAAAAATTAATTTGAGACAATATTTTTCCAATTAATCAAATTTTTTTTTATCGGGCAAAAAAGTTTAATTCGAAGTACTTTGTGCTCAAACCTGAACTAATTAACCCACATTTCCAGTTATCGGTTTTGGAATTCAGAATATTTAGGTTTTTAGGAGATTTTATCATTTTTTCCTGTTTCAAGATTAATTTATTTACGCTTCGAGTATTTTTTTTAATAACTTGGAAATTTTTTAATATCTTTTTTTAATATCTCTGAAATTTATCCTTTGTTGTTAACAGTATATTATCCTTCCCCTTCACTCAATTAGTGCCCAATTAATCTCACTTCAAGAAGTGGATCATTTTTATTTCAACAACATGTTTCATTCGGAATAAATAGCGTTTTAATACTGAACGGCAGAGATTTTTTTCTGAAATTTCGTAAAAAATTTCAAAATAGAGTGAACAGTTCACCATTAATCTTCAGCAGAAAGACATTAATTTCGATTTAAAGGGCAAAAATATGATGGAAATTCCAATTTCACTGAAAAATTAATGCAATTCCAAAATTTTGATCTGTACAAACACGAGAATTTTCCTCATTTCTATCACCTTTCATGGACTAACTAAACTAAAATCTCCAGTCCCCATCCATTTCCCCCCAAACCCTCCAATTTCCAATGCCAAAATGTCTCGAAATTTCCTCGCAACTAAAAACTTCCAAGTCTCCAAAATCCCAAAACCTAGACTCAATTTCCCCCGCAAAAGCTTCAAACTAATCTCCGACGTAATGTTTCGTGGTCGTCGGCCATATTGGTTTGGCCCTGAGAATTAACTGGAATGCGCGTGCATGGAATGAAGAATCAGCGAGAGGCATGAGGGGTCACAACACGTTTTAAAAAAAATCCAAGAAAATTGTCCCGCTGGTTTAACGTTTCATACCGGTCACGAATGGCGACAGCCAATGACTCTCACGAAGAAGGGACAGCGTCGCGGCGTCCATTTTAAGACGCCTGCGCCTCCCGCGAAGACAACTCCGGGGAAATTCAAATCCGGACAGATCCACAATTTAAAAAAAAAAAAAAGAATGTTCACGTGACATTCCGCGGCTTACTCACTCGTTAAAATCTCCGCGAGATGAATTACAATCGCCCGCTACATCCGAGAAATAAAATAATGACCAATTAATCATCGACACGAGGAAAAAACCTCTCCATTTTCTATTAATAAATTAACTTCTCGAGAAATGCATGTGCAGTTAAAGGTCAAGTGCCACGGGCGCAAGCGACACTAGACAAGAGAAGCCGTCTATAAAATCCGCGGAAAAAATTCATTTTCAACCGAAAAAAAGTCAATTAATCCCGCGAGATAAAAAATAAAGGGGCAAAACCGACTAGATAGTGACTGGAACACCTGCGTGCGGGTCGACAGGTACCCTATCTACCCCCACACCTGTCCCTCTCCGGCCAACCCATCAATACAAAAGAATTTTAAAAAACCCGCTGAACTTACATTGATGCTTATTAACAATAAGACTGATGGGCTCAGACCCACCGAGTGGACTGTCCTTCCCACTGCCCGGCGGTGGTGATTTGCTGAGATGCTGTGCCTCCAGCAACCTCAGCTGCTGCTGATGCAGTCGATTTTTAATCAAAAATATCTTCGGCATTATGTCCCCAGTCTATTTCCGACAGAATTCACACAAGTCCCTTCACAACACCACAAACAAACTCGAGTTTCTTCATAAATAATAATCTCCCGGAACTACCGAATGACAGTTGCCATCATCCGGCGACCATCCCCTGGAGAACATTGACATTCACACATGAAAAAAAAAAAAAAATACGTTAAATCCAGTGACTATTGTCAAGCGAAATAAATAAACCCCGAGATGTTAAATATTTTTTAATGTCCTTGGATGTCTCCACACACGAGCGTTCGCAGCGATGTACAGTTATCGTTGCGAGAGTGTGAGAGGGGAAAAAAAAAGTATCTGAAAAAGGTGTGGTATTGGCTGGTAACGACACTCCAAGAGCTCGGTTTGGTATCTCGCGAGCAACTGGGGCTTCGTCGTGATGTCGGACCCCGGGCCCCGACCGTGAGGAGTCGCATCCCCCACTCCGGTGAATTCGTGCTGCTACGGCATTACCTGTACCTGCTGGCCCCGGCCCCCCGGCCCCCACCCCCACCGGCGGGTCTGTCTTCGTTGGACGAGGGAACAGAATGAGGGAGAGAGAGAGAGACGAGGTGGAGAACAGAACAACCGGATCGTCAAGGCGCTTGCGGTCCTCTACCGTTGCTACTTCAACCCATACAACGGCGCATAACGTTCGCCTTGTATTCGTTGGGGCTTTTCTTAATAATACAACTACGTTTCTCGTTTTTGCCGGGCGCAATGTCGTGGGCTACCTGACTAGCCGCAGCGAGACGGTGGATGGGGATAACGGCCCCCCCTCGGGTTGTTCCACGGGTCGTGGGTGGGGAATTAATTTTTTTGGAATTAGTGGGTTTGTCGTTGGGGAATTGATGAGAGTGACGGGGGATTGGGGTTTGTTGGGAATTGGTGATTGCCGGAGGAGTATTTTAAGTAGTATGAACATGGCTGTTCTACTTTAAATGGGGGAAACGGGGAAATTCAGTTCTAATTTCAGTAGCGAAGTGGTCAAACGGTTTAAGACAATTTAGTCTTCAGGTGAGTTTTTCAGAAATGTTTTCGAATTTAAGGGAGATAGCGAAATTCTTTTAATGACCTTTTTTGTGCAGCAAATTGAGTGCTACTAAAAAGGTTTTGATAACAATTTTGCGAACTCCCTTAGATTTCGAGATATTCGGTGGAAACTGTCAATAGCCAAAATCGAATGGACCGTTTTACCACTTCGCTACTGATTTAACGGAATGGCGAGGGATTTGGGTGGAATTTGGGGGCATTTGTCTGTTTTGTATTGGTCATAATCAATTTGAAATGGATAACTCAATGAATAGTGGTTCATTTTCATAATATCACTGTTGAAAATTTTTGGCTGCAATTTCAAGAAATTTTTCATTTGAAATTTAACATTTTATTGGAAAATCAATGGAAAGAGTAAATTCCTGTTCAATTATTCCATGAAAACGAATAGAAATCTAGAGAATTCAGATAAATATAGTCTGGAGTTATTAATTAATTGGAAATTCAAGTAAGTTGGGGAATTTTCGTCTTCTTGCTGGTGAAAAATTTGGAATTTCAGTGAATTTTGACGGAAATCTGAAGATTTCAAAGATTCAAATCGGAAATTAATTTTAAATTGAAGCTGATGTGGATAGAGATATTGTGGTGAAGTTTGTGTAAAATGTCTCTTCAGTATTGTTGATGATAATTCATTTTCGAGTGGAAAATTACAGTCTTATGAACAAACAACTATTTTTCGTTTTTGCAGTCAAAAAATTTAAATTCTGTATCCAATATTTGAATTATCGCCCGCCCCATACTTTTATAACAATTAATTTTTCATATAAATAGCAAATAAACAATGACACAGAAACAGCAATTTAATTCCACCGAAATTTCAATGAATTTCTTAATTAAAAATGAAAAATTTTATGGGACAATCAATGGAAATTGTAAATTGCAGTTTAATTATTCCATGAAAATTAATTGAAGATTCATCGTAATTTGGAACCGAATATTTACATTTTCAAAAAATTGACATTTTATTATTTCGTTCCCCCTAAATCAAAATTAATACCGCTCTCGGGAAAATTATTACCAGATCATCTACAAAATCTTATTTTTTCTGCCAGTGCAGTCAAATGAAATACGATCATCAGAAAATTAGAAAAAAAAATTTAATGACGTAATTTCTTGTACTCATTACTAGATGAATTAGATTTGCTATAAATTCACACAAAGGTAAACGCGTGACAATGGATTCGAGGGAGATGTCAAATATATTGAAGAGAGACAAAACTCGTGACGATAGACGCTGTCTTGGCGATGGCTCGCGTGTAGTGTGAACATGTAGCGGTCACTACATCAGGAGAGGGGGAGGAGTTAATGAAAGAGAATTATTGAGCGGAAAATAAAAGGTTTTTGCGTCCCCGAACAAATTAGTTCTAATGGTTTTTTGAGGTTGTTTTAAATTGCAATGGATTGTATTATAATATTAGATGCCTCTCGATTTAAAGCAGCTGTACCCTTACGGTAAATTCAAAGATTATTGGAAACTGCAAAAAAATTGCAGAAAACTCGATTAGATTCGGAATTCTAATCTTTTCCCAATTTGATTATCGTTTTGGTTTTTCAAAGAAGAAATGTTTAAAAAGCAGGATTTAACCCAGTGTCTTGTGTAGACATCAACATTTCCATTGTAATCGAAGATTAAAATCTGAATTTTTTTTCATTAGATGTGAAAAAATCAAGAATTTTTTTTCAAGTATTATTATTTATTTATAAGAGGGAAATGTTTGAAAAAATATCACTATTTTGGGAAATTTAATTTAGATAATGCTGACCGGGTATGAACTTAATTCAAGAATTTCACCTGAGGTATTCAAGAATTATTTCAATTCAGGGACATAAATGTCTTGAAAACTCAGACAAAACTGTCCTAATTTGACATTGCCCCATTTGCAAATACTCTGATTTTAAACAAAAAAAATAGCTTAATGTTGCGTATAGAATGTCTTAAAACCTGATGTATTGAAAATAGATGTTTTCAAAATGTCTTAAATCAAGAAATTAGGCATGAAAAATGTCTTAAATCTGAGGTAGTCAAGAATTTTTCAAATTCGAGGACATAAATGTCTTAAAAACTCTGTCAAAACTGTCCTCATACAAAATGGATTTTAAACACTAAAAATATGTCAAATTGATTCTAAAATCTGATCAATTTAAAATATTTAAAAAATGTTCTGAATTCCAAATACTCCGATTTTTTTCAATTCGAGTGCATAAACGTCTCAAAAGTACAACCAAGAATGTCTTAATCCAATCGTTATGAGGGGGAAATGTACATCGTCAAGGTTGAGAGGTAAAAAGTAACTTGCACGTTTATATTCATGTTGGATAGTAATGTGAGAGCGGGAGACTTCGATGCCTGCAACTACCAGCCACGACACCGGTGGATACGTACAGCGCAGTTGAGATTGTATCCCGCAGGCTCAAACAGCCCAGCGTAAATTATGACTTTTCGGGGGAGGTCGGGGATCTTTAGTTAATCTCGGAAAATCTGAAGTTTTACCTGTCCCCTTGGCTATTTATTCTCATTCTCAGTGGAATGAATATCGCCGGATTTGGATTAAGGGTCAACCCCCCAGGGACTCCAGCGCAGATGAAAACATAAAAATATCTTCAAAGATAATTTTTATGGTGTGCCGCCATTGGACGGGACAGTCTTAAATTTTTTTTCTATTTTAAGAAATTCTTCAATTTTTTAATTAATTTTATTAGTTGTTTTTTGAATTTTTTTGTTTTTTTTTTCAGGGAACAATCTTTATAAAATTTTGAGATTGGAGTGTATTTCAATATATTTTTGAGATTTCAGCCAAATAATACACTTTTGAAGAATTTTGGATGAATTTTTAAAAAATATGTTCATTAAAATTTCATAATTTGATGGAAAAATCAGTGGAAATTTCAAATTTCAGTTGAATTATTTCATAAAAATGATAATCATTATTCGAAATTCAGCCTTTGGTACTAATATTCACGTTTTGATTGAAAATTCCAATAATTTATGAAATTATAATTGGAATATAATAATTAAAATTGAAATTAGATTGAATTTTTCATGAATTATTCTTCAATTCCAACAAATCCCTCACATTCCTTCCATCATTATTCAAAATCCCGCGGAATACATGAATTTTCTCAACACCGAGTTGAATATCAAAGGAAAAACAAATGCAGAAAAACAAAAAAGAGGAAAAAAAATTAAATGAAAAATTAGAAATATAGACAAACTCGACGGAAAAATCGATATTGCATTTTAAAAAATCTTCACATTATTTTCGACAATCGCAGAAGGCATAATTACGCCCACTTATTGAGTACCAACGTCAGTGTGCGCTATAAACAACAACTCGTGTCGCATTTGCGGAAAAAGATACTGTAGCCACGGAGTTGCTTGCGAAATCTCTCAACCGTCTGTCGTCGTCGTAACTAAGAGGCAAAGTCAAGGCCAAGAGCTATGGAGAGATGTTATGCAATAGCGCTGGCTCGTGGCGCACGGTTTAACGTTATATATAGGATATTAGAAATTAACAGTGCAGTTAGGAGAGGATGACTTTTAATATTCCCGGGGCTTCATTCAGTCTCGCTGAGAGTTGGTTATTCGATTTGATTGTCAAGGACTATTCAGGTAGTTGTTTCAGATTTTTCTGGTGAATTATTTCCACTCCATCTTTTAGTTTCCATTTTATCTTTAAAAATCAATTTATTCAAAAAATATTTCTCTCGATTCTGTGGAAAGATGACGAATGTATTTATTTATTTTTATTTTCTTATTCATATTTCTTTCCTACTGCCTTTACGGTTTTATTTGAGCAGTAGTTCTCCACTCTCGCGCCTGGCGGCAGCAGTATCACACGAGTAGGTAGACCAAACGCTGCGTAATGATGTACTTTGGCTTTTTTTCGCCAGTGACATGCTTTTCTACTTTTGTAGTCGAACATCAGAGCTTTCATTTGATTTTTTAAATAATAACATTATTGTAGAATGATTTTATTATTAAAAATTTGCAGGTCAGTGTTTGAATCACGATAGTGAAAAGCTTATTTTTGGAAGAAGATTGATGAAATAATTAAAAAATTGCAATTTTTCAAAATTGCTAGCATTTTGTATAAATAATTTA